CAGTTTGTTTCATTTGTTATGAAGTAATCTTTAACATACCAAGATAATTGTTAATTCATTAAAGTCGTAACTAAACATAGTGGTCTAAAGTACAGTGTGTCATTTCATCTGACAAATGCATCAGCCCAGAGCTTCGATTCAGATTCAGCTCTTACATTCTGAGCTGTTTGGGGCGATCATTTCTCGTTCCTAAACTCAATCCAAATAACGTCTTAGGCCCGTGTTGTTTCACATTTTATTAATAGCAACATCAGAGTACTAAATGTACAGAGGACGAATCAGTGAGAATCGCATTTACAGTGCTTGCAAATACAGAGCTTAGTAGTACAAGAGTAACCAAATCAAAGTCACCTGGAAATTGAAACGTTTACCAATAACTACAAAAGGAAGAGATGTGGTTCATAAGACACAAAACAAAAGTTGTACAACGTTTAGCCGTCACAGAGACAGACTGGAGTCCCTTTTTAGAGGTGTGGTGTGTGTGTGTGTGTGTTTTCGTATATACTATAGTCATAGGTCTTATACAAAAGTTAACAGAGGTACTCATTGATATATTAAACACAAATATAAAAAGTTTAAGAGTCACAAAGTACAAACTCTTCATTTTGATGGCGACAACACAACTTCGAGTCATTTTTCTTCATTTTAGGTGTGAAATGTAGTTGTGTGTCAGTGAACAGACCACATGTGCTCCCATGTGAAAAGGTTTTTCGTTCCACAATCTAAAAACAAAAATCAACATAATTTTCTTACATCCTGACTTTTAAATGTAGGTTATGATGATTATAACTTTGTTTTTTAGATGCACTCATCTTCTGCTTGCAACACCCATGCAATTAGGAACCGTAAGTCTTCTTTTACATTTCCAATCAAACCTGTTTTAACTTTCTTTGGGTGGCACTCACTTCAGATCTACCTTTAGTTGGAAAGGCATCTTACAGCGCTAGACGCCCATTTTAAGGAATCCACAGCAGATTTGTTCATACCGACCCTCTAACGGGAAGGATTATGAACAAATAGAGAATGTTGCACAAAAAAAAAAAAAAAAAGCCTCATGTCTGCTTTTCTCAAATCTTTGACTTTATAGATTAGCACTGACAGTGTTTTGGCTCTTCTAAATAGAAAAGTAAAAACATGACCCGTGAGCAGAGTCGGAGCCCTCTGCTGTAATTACAGTATAAGCGCACAGTATGTGATTTTCCTGAAAAGATGAGCGAGGAGCTACAGATTCCTGACAGCTAAGTAATTGGTTCAGTAAGATTTGTTGCCAAACATAATATTTTCCACCTCTTGTTTAGTCTTACCTCTTTGAACACCCGTCTCGCACGTCTTTGATACAAATTTAAACCACCACCTTGTCAATATCGGTGTCGTGTGTCATGTATTTCTTGGCTAACCAGACACTAAAAGAATACACTGAAGCCGAGTCGGTTCATTGATCCCTCTCATGATGATGTTTCAAACGATGTGTTTAGGGGGATATATTCGGCCTCAAATACAAATGTCAATTCTATATGTCGGACATGCAAAGAGAATCACGTGACTTGTAAATATTCTTTTGTGTTTCGTGTTGATGAAAAAGCCTATTTTGTAGCTTTGTGTCAAGGGGAGCAGAGTTTTGTATAAAAGACAAAAAATGGGAGTTAAAAGTAATTGTTCCTTGTGAAAAAACGAATGCATCCAACTGCACTCAAATTATATTTCTTGAATCAGGTTTGACCGGCCTAATAGAACTGCTTTACTCCACCTTAGCTGCAAGATATTGCATGCCACTTTAAATACAAACTAAAAATTAGAACATAAACCATTTAGGGGGGGTTGTACCAGATTTTGCATATGTATAAAAGGAAATGTGGTTGTATGATGATGTTTTAAAACATTCTGTCTTGTGTTAAACATTTTCTGTGCGTGTTTACTGCAATCACATCTTTCTGGAATCCAAGTGCTTTTATTTCAACAAGCAGCTATCCACCAGTACAAATGATGTTTTCCAAGCAAACCGACATAAAACCTCTGGAACCATTTTTTTCCCCCTTCAAGTTATCCAAATCTGTGTTATCCACAAAATCAGAAATGAATCATTGAGTTTTATAAAAAAGAAAAAGATGTGTAGCTGGGTCACACTGACATTTCACATTTATCACATGTTGTGTTTTAGCACAAAAATGTCTCAGTTGCCAGCACGTTTTTTTTTTTCTCTTGATGAAACAGTTCAGATAACAAATGTAGTCACAAATGGTCTAACAATCATCAGAAGGCCTTTATCGGCTTACAAACAAATTGAGTTCAGTTTAGCACAACTTCAAATTAAAGGAAAAAAGTCAAATACTCATTTGTTTTGGAGATTTGGCCATCAGTGCAATCAGAAATTTCACTGTTGACATTTTGTCAAGAAAAATACTAAAATAAGCTGAGCAAGGCAGGTCGACCTTCAAGCAGCTTGTAAACACATTTATAGAAAGTGAAATCTTGTTTTTTAAAACATACAGAAAAATCACAAGTCACATTTTATCTAATATGGAAGCTAAGAAAGGCCATACCTGCTATTATAGTATAATCGTGTGTGTGTGTGTATATATATATATATATATATATATATATATACATGTTTTCTCAATTTAGCTTTTCAGTTGTGTCAAGATAAATAAGCCAGTTTTCTCAAGATGGCAGCTTATCTACAAAAAAGCAGTTTTGTTTATGATGATTAACAGATGATTATGATGAAAATTTTTCTGGTTTCATCCAGTTTCATTCTTTTACATCATAGTCATGACGCTTTGTTGATCAATGATCCATATCCCTTGATTGCATTTTATTTACTTGGAGCAGTTGCCAAAATAACTCTTATTTGTTGAAAAAGTCCACGTGTTGTGACTTATTTTTTCTATGAAAAAACAAACAGTCTTTTCTATGACTGAATATATCGTTCTGTCATTCCATCAAGAAAACAAGGTTGTTGCCTTGAGAAACTGCTGTTACTTTTTATCATAACCAAACTATCTTTGCATTCCTGAACTAATGCAACTGTTAACATCATTTTATGATAACACAAAAATACATTTCTAAGCATGTTCTTTCTTGGCCTCGATATTAAGACACCAAAGATAGTCTTGAAATAATGTTTTTATCGTGTTTATGTTCCAACCAAAGCTGGCCAAAGCTACAAAACATTGAGAATCAACCACAAAGTTATAATCAGGAACACAAGTGCTTTGAACTAACAGGTAATGCTAACGTGCTGATGATCAACAGCTGTTTTCATACATCATTCTGGTTTAGCACATCATGCTTGGAAAAGTGGTCAAGAAAATCTGATTATGTCACAAGGGAGAAGAGAGATGCTGCCGTCACAAATGATTTGCTAAAACATGGCTAAAATAAGGCAAAAAAAAAAAGTATTTTAAAACGTGAGAAATGAAAAATACATTTTCTTTTCAAGTCTTTGTTTTATCTTTGACAAAGTATTGGTCACATCAATAACAAGAATATTGTGTATTTCACAAACATCCGGTTCATTTTCTTATTGCATTCACTGACAACAGCAATGTTCATGTCTTTGCAGTCATTCCAGTGAAGAACGAGAGAATTCATGTAATTTCCCAGGCAGTTGTAGTAACAAAATGAGAACAAATGGATGCAACCCAGTCTAGATCGAGTTTAGTTGTTTTCTTGGCAACTACTGTTGGATTTGTACTTGTTTTGTTTTTTTATTCGTTCAAACTTTATGTTAAATTCCACCTATAAATAATGTCAAGAAGATCAAGTCATTGGTTTTCCAGCCAACCATGAACACAAACTCAAGGTATGGTCACAACACCCGATAAAACCATTCAGCACTGGTTCTTTCAGAGGCTCCAACTGGAAATCACTTTCTAATTCAGCAAACTATTGCAGCATCTACTGAAGTATAATACTGGTTAGCTAAAGACATAATACAAGTACTGCCTGAAAGTGCAGATAAGAAGCTTGGCACAAGGTTAGTTTTGTGTTTTTGAAAGAAATACTGTAGATACACATGTAAACAAAGACACTATCCCCGACCTAGCTGGAACCTTCCCCCCAAAAAGGCAAAGCTCTTGAAAAATAAAACACCTGTACACAAATTGAAGCAAATATATAGAAAATGCATTTACATGTGTATAATTTACATCAAGTTTCATAACCCTCTATTGAATAAGATAGCACTCTTCATTCAAAAAAATATAAGTTATGTCAAAGAAGCAACACAGCCTGACTTGTGTGAGGCTGAACTAACATGGGTCATTCATGAGTGGTTTTCATGTCGTGAACAGGCCAAAGCAGAGGTTATGCACCACAGTGTTTATCCCAATCCATCTTTGTAAAAAATGGCTCACATTTACAAAGTACACATAAGTTGTTGTCACACATGATCTGAAGCCCTCATATGTTCTAAAGTTGTATTTGTAGTTTTTGATATAAACTTCTTGCAGATTTGCGTTTTTTTGTTGTTGTTGTTTTTTTAACTAAACAATGGTTCCCAACTCTGGTCCCTGAGGAACACCATCCTACATTTTTTAGTCTTTTTCCCTGCTTCAACGCATTTGATTAATGTTTAAATCACTTTTTGGTCTGTTGCCTTCAAACATCTTATCCTGCATGTCACTGCGTGAGTGCAGCTACAGCGTGTGCTCTTAGGACATCGTTACATGCAGTGTTCCCTCAGTGAGGACTGAACTAGGCAAAAGTGCCTTTTTCTACTCCGCTCCTGTTTCCTGGAACATCTTGCAAAAATATCTGAAACTCTCGACTTTGACCTCTCTAGGTGGCTTTAAACATCTGTTTAGTTCCTGGGGGGGAAAAAAAACAATGCAGACTTGTTCCTGTTTTTAGTTTTCTACATTGCCTTACGGCAGGTTTTTTTTTGTTACATTTTTTAAATACCATTTTATTATCACTTGTTTTTCTCAATTTGTATGCATCCTTTATGATTGTTGTTGTTGCTGTCTACTGTTGTCATCACTCTTTATTAAAACCAGGTCTCTCTTGTAAATGAGTTCCTGAGGCTCAATGGGATTAAGCTGTATAAATAAAGGTTGAATTAATTTAGTGGTTTATTTACTTCCTTAAGTTCGGCAGAAGCCTGTTAATCACCCTTCCGTTCCTCAAGGACCAGGGTTGAGAACCACTGCCTTAACATAGCAGATCTTCTGGAGCATTTACAACAAGCAATCAAAAGTTATTTTTGTACTTTGCTAATGGTTACTCTTTCATATAAAATTAAAAAAAAAGTTAAATCGTGTCATCTGGACCAGTTTCTTTAAGTGAGAAACGTTTCGTCCCCCATCTAGAGGACTTCCTCACTCTACAGCCTGTCAACCAGATCTTTCATATCGTTTTTAATTATTTCATACTATTTTTATCATATCTATCCACTTGTGTGGTTTACTAAGAACTTCCCCACTTCCCCTCTGTCACATTTCTAGCTGTGAGAGCAACTCTCCTGAGGAAATCCCCTCCACTGTGAAAGGCCGGTGCAAACAGCTATCGTGTAAAAAATCTGGATCAAACTGTCTGCACATTTCCTTAAACATCCCCAGAGTTCATGTGTGAAAACAACTGGACATTGTGGGACAACCTGTTTTCTTTGGTTCCTTTGTAGGAACTGGGTTTAGAAACCCCCTCAGTAATTACAGTAAAATAAATGTAAACACCCAGTGGACCCATGGTTTAAATCTGTACATATTGCTGATAGCAGCCAGAAATGTTTACAATTACAGAATTGTATTTGTGCTTTGTACAAACCTACAGCACAATAAAAGGTAGAATATTAGACGACGTCCACAAAAGCTTCATAGCACGAACGTAATTGAAGCTTGACGTTTAATAATAATGAAATTAACGGTATTAGGACGTTTTAAGGAGAGCTTTTCTACCCTTCGCATTACGTAAATCATTAAACTTGACTTCAAAGACAGTTTAAACCAATTTCTGATTGGCTTGTCTTGATCCCTTACCAAATCTAGATGGTGAGAAAGTGCCAGATTTCTTGTATAAATTTTGCTTGCGAACCAGAATTTAACACAATCTGCCCACATCATCCTGGCTGTGACAGCTGAGATTATAATATGGTGGAAGTGTTCTTCTCAAACACCAAACAGATCTGGGTTTGGAGAAAGCTGACCTTCATGTCACATCCCATAAGAGGATTCTTTCCCACTAAATCCCTGTATTTAAAAAGAAAATAAGTACATAAAATAAACATGATGCAGATCATTTGGGTCTTAAGAGACACCCCAGTGGAACACCCTCACAACCTGTTTTTTCTTTCTTTCTTCCAAAAGACTGTTTTGCAATTTCTTTTGCAATGTGTGGTTGTCAAACTACCTTTTCTGTCTAATTCATAACAGAATGTCAGAATTTTGTCTACATCAACTGCTTTCTCAGATATTAATATGATCTATGTATGTCAATGCTTGACATACCTAAGATTGTATGAATGTTCTGTCGATCTCTCTGCCTTTATTCAAACTTTACATGAAATTCCTGCTGGGGAATTTGTTAAAGCATGCACCGTACCAGGTTTTAGTATATTTTCCATTAATCTCAGATATGAAGCTCAAATAATAAGCAGTTGATGTGGGCAATGAATTGGCTTGCACCGTGGTGAAGTTTTGAGTTGTCTTCTTAGTTAAGGGGGAATATATTTAAAATATTTTAACAGTGGTTTCCAGTGATCCAGACTTCCACTGTTAGTACTGTGGCAGGCTCTTAGGTGTACAAAAATAGATGTAACTATTCTGATTTTAAAATGGGATTGATAGAAACTTATTTTTTTACTATTGAATAAAGCATAAACCACCTCTGCGTTTTCTTAGTCTCTCTTTCAAATCTTATAGAATAGTGATTTATATAAATATGTTTTAGATTCTCTGGCAACACATTTGTTAAAACTATTTGAAAACATTTTCAAATACAATTATAGTATTTTTCTTTTTTACATTTTGTTAAAAAAGAAAAAAAAAGCATATCTGGAATTTATACAGGGTTAATATAACTCTTTGTGTTTAGTCCGTCAGGTATTGTAAAACTTCCATCTCACCAGGTTGTGGCACATAGTGGCATTATTGGCACATTGTTCAGAAATACAGTTCATCTTTCACCCAACACAGCTCCTTGGGCTCCGTTTTTTTAATTTTTTATCTCAAATGTTTTCCTTGAGACATCCGTGATGTCCACAGTCTAATTCCATACAGCTTGTAAATATATCTATATATACTCTATATCTAAATGAATGTAGATTTCTGGAAAGATGGTGAGGCAGCACATTGTGGCTGCCCTCCTCGATATCTCTAGAAAAATAAATATCTTCACCAGTGTCCGAGAAGTGATTACACTATCTTACAAAATAAGCTGTTTTGTGTTTCCAACAGGATCCTGTGAAAATACAAAGAAGAAAATTGAAGTTAATCATTCTTGTGAGGGTCAGTATAACAAACATACAGTAGCCCTAAGGTGTAAATGAACATTTGAAAAAATGGAATTACATTTGAAAAAACGGAATTACATTTGAAAAAATGAAATTACATTAAGCCAAAATGGAATTGGCCGAAGCGGAAGTGGCCCGAATCACATTAGAAAAAACAGAATTACATTTGAAAAAAATGAAATCACATTAAAAAAAAAACAGAATCATATTTTAATAAACAGAATGACATTTGAAAAAACAGAATTAAATTAAGCCAAACAGGAAGTATATATATTTTTTACTTTATTAACAGCATAAAACCAAACAACAAAACAATATGCAATACACACACAACGGTGATACAGTTAAAAGGATAGCCTGCTAACTGTATCTCTGTTGTGTGTGTACTTTATATTGTTCTGTTGTTCGGTTTTATGCTGTTAATACAGTAAAGTAAGAAAGAAAAATCCTATTTGGATTAATGTAATTAAATTTTTTCAAATGTGATTCCAAATTTTTCAAATATAATTCTGTTTTTTTAATGTGATTCGGGCCACTTCCGCTTCGGCCACTTCCGTGTTGGCTTAATGTACTTCCGTTTTTTCCTAACGTGATTCTGTTTTTTTTTTTCAAACGTAATTCTGTTTTTTTTTATGTGATTCCGGCCACTTCCCCTTTGGGCACTTCTGCTTTGGCTTAATGCAATTCTGTTTTTTCAAATGTTGTTCATTTACACCTTAGGGCCACCGTACAAACATGTTGAAGTATAGCCTACTTTTCACTTATTCAGGGGGGAAATGGCAGCATAATGTAACTAGGAAAACATGCAACTCATATTTATTTTTTAAAGTCAGACGGCAGTTGTATGCTGTATGAAAATCATGTAAACATAATTCCTACATACAGTTTGCACAGATAAGTGTTTATTTCAGCATTGTAGCACCGAGAGAGCAGGCCACAGAATCCCGAAGTGAGTAATGTGTGTCCAGACAGGAGTTAGGCTCTGTCCTCACCCTGCATTACCTGTAGGCAATATATTCCTTTGAAAATCTGGGTCAATAGCAAACGTTACACCTCCCTCTGGCTTTCACCAACACTGCAAGGCTAGAGCATGTGCTTAATGTTGACACTTTGAATTTCAAATGCTGGGCCTTTCTGGTATAGCTACACTGTATTTTTGTTGTGCATTAACAACGTTTCCTGATTGAATATAATTATTCTTTCATGCTTTCGGGCATTAGAAATTCTAATTTTTTATATTTGTTAGCTTTTTTTATTGTTTCCAAAATCAAGATGGAACTAAATGTGACCATACTGTGCAAATGATTATTCTACTGTGCTATTGTTAATTTTATCTCTGACAAAGACGTGCAATACTGTTCCGAAATGGATTTTGAACCATTTTTTTATGTCTGCCCAGAGCACAGACAAGAGCATATTTAATGTCACAAATACAAAACATATGCCAAGTTCCTCTCTATTCCCAAAGTGGGGCAGCATCACCATGAGGATGGAGGTAGTTAAGCTTCAGATGATGATTTGCAGGGGGAGACTAAGTAGAACAGTACCCACCAGAGCATGAAGTCAGGATGTCTTTCCCACAGAGCATGAAGAAAGCCTTCAGCTCGTCAACAAGAGATCTCAAACCATTTCTCCGACACAAAGGCCACGGGTATCAGTTGTCTTTCAGTGGGAGAAGGCCTGTCGGGAAAAACAAAAATGGTTATACGATTAAACTGATAGAAGTGAAGGTAATGTGGATCAGAAACATTTTCCATTTCAGGTTTGGCAATGTTCATCTTCCAAGGTCTAGTTCTGTCTCTTGTTGCCCTCCAGTGCCACAGTCAACTCAGTATTGCTGTCACATTCGAACACAACAAAATGCTTCACTTACCAGCAGTGACATTGTTCAACATATAAAATAAACCAATAAAAATCCTGTATAACGTGCGCTAGTTAAATATAAACATTAAATTAATTTCACCCTCCCTGCCAATGTGCTGCAATGAATTCATAACAGCGTTTGGATGCACTCGGTAGGCGTTTTCATCTTTGCTGGCCCTGTAGCTTAGATGACCGTTGCTCTCAGACAATAAACACTGTCAATTCTCTGCCATTTTACTGTCAAACCTCCCACATAATGACTGCACGGTCTCTGCCAGCACACCTGTCAGTTTAAATCAAATGGAGGAGACGCATCATCCAAATACTTTTGCCCATTTCTATGATGGAAAAACAAAAAACACAGATCGCCTAAAGTGGTAAACATGAATGTATTCAGCAAAATTTGGAGTGAATGTCATGTTTAAAGTGCAGTAAGGAAGTGGCAAAGCAGAAAAGTCATGTTACTATGCATCTATAAATTGAAAAATAAATTGTGTCAGAGCTTCACAAAGATGAAGCATGAAACGGATGATGAGAATAGTATTAAAAGCAACCAATTTGTGTTGGGATTTGTTCAAACAAACCTCTGACTCAGTCTGACTGTGACTAAGAGAAGCAACATTCACAAAAAGATGAATTCAGGATTGCAATTTCGATTAACTCTATTTTATCTTTTTTCATACTTTCATGCTTTGTATGCCATAAATTGCAGTCAGAGTTTTAATGGGAGTTAGTAGGAGAGATCATATCTCTCCAGTTTTAGTTTCTCTCTGGTGGCTCCCTGTCAAATCCAGAACAGAATTCAAAATCTTACTTCTAACATACAAAGCTCTCAACAACCTAGCTCCATCTTATATTACTGATCTTATTGTTACATGTCTTCCTAACAGAGCACTTTCCTCTCAGACTGCAGGTTTATTTGTGGTTAATAGAGTCTCCAAAGGTAGAATGGGAGGCAGAGCTTTCTGTTGTCAGGCTCCTCTCTTGTGGAAGCAACTTCCAGTTTCTGTCCATGAGTCTGACACATTGTCTACTTAAGTATTTCCTTTTTGATAAATCCTATAGTTAGGGTTGACTTGGGTTTCCTGAGCTATGCTTTAGTTATGCTGCTGTAGGCTTAGACTGATGGAGGACAAACTGACCACATTTCTTCACTTTGCTGCTGTCTTTACTTACTCTACCTGTTTTGTATTTGTAATTATTTATATTGTTATGTTTTTTGTCTTTCTTCCAATAGGGGGTACACCTGCACCTACATCTGGACCTGCCGTTCTGTGTTCGTTTCTCTCTCCTTCCTGTCTTCTTAAACCCAGCCTGTCGAAACAGATGGCCACTTGTCCTGAGCCTGGTTCTGCTGGAGGTTTCTTTCTGTTAAAAGGAAGTTTTTCCTTTCCTCTGTTGCCTTTGTGCTTGCTCAGGTTTGAGCCTGTGACAAAGTGAAGATTTAACACGTCTGCTGGTTTCCTTCCTTGGATAGATGACTTTACTTATTGGGTTTTGTATGTATTTGTCTTTGGACAGTGCCCTGAGATAACTTGTTGTGACTATAGAAATAAACTGAATTGAATGTGAACATTATTAGAACCTTAGAACAACTCGTTGTCTCCTAGACTGATTACATTTCTACTGAGAAAGGGCAAAGAGTATGGAGAAAGGGCAGAAGTATTCATCCTAAAATTCTTTTTTTTTTTTTTTTTTTTTTTTTACCATTTTTGGGCTTATAAAACAATTCTTTAAACATCTCACAGGTATGAAAGAATGCTACATCAGCTAATATTAAACACATTAATACATTTGTTTAGTTTCTTACAGTTCTTTTTTTTTTCAAACTAACGTTGTCTATGATTCCATAAAAATGTATGTGTGCTGTGCATGGAACCAGTGTATCCCAATAGTGTGAAGGAGTTGCTGAAAATTTCAGCCTGCCAGGATTTGAGTAAACCTTCGGATGACCAGACACGTTGAGCAGGCAGACGGATGCATTGAGCAGCCTCAGCAACATTGGCATGTACATGCTCTGTGCACATTTTCCTAGTAACAAGAACAATGAGCAACAAACAGTGCCATGCAAAAGTAAAGATGTTAATTTTAAACTAATGTAGCACGCGTTCATACCTCCAAGATTTTTGAGAAAGATGTGTTGAATACTCATAAAAACAATACTAAAGCTTTCAATAGGCTAGCCATTAGCTTAGCATTGTTAAGGACCCTTTGCCTTTTCTGCAGCCTCTGTGCGCTGTCACTGATTTTAAGATTGACAAGGTCCTCATTACTGATAACTTTTTGACAGAACGTCACTTGAAGAGAGACCAGACTGTCCCTTTGAGCGAGTTATCCACATGCACACCTGTTTCCATTGTAAGAGGTCTTGAAGACAGGTGTCTGCTGGATCATCTCATCAGTGTAGATGGGCACGGCAGTCCGAACGCACTCATGTGAGCACTGCAGGCTGTCGTTGTAGGCAGTGAATATGTCCACCTTGCTTGGCACTCGAGCTGGGGTGAAGTCTGTCAGGTTTTGGCAGCTTTCCTCTTGCTGGTGGATCTTTCTCTGATGGCTATTGTGGCGACCATTTCCAGACTGTGCACAACTACAAAAACACGCACCAAAGACAAGAAGCAAACATAAAATCATACCTTGTACTTTTGGTTAAACTAATAATAAAAAATATTTAAAAAAAAAAACAAGAATAAAGTGTTGCAGCTGCGAATGAAAAGTAAAGGAATCTTTCCTACCAGTTCTTAAGGACGAGTGTTGTGATCAAGGCTGCAATAACCATGATGAGAGACACAGTGATTGTGATAATCTGGTGAACTGCCAAACCTGCAGAAAAACAATAATAAACATTGAGCATGCATCAGGAAATTATAAACATTAGCAAAATATTTCACCTCCATTTATAGAGGAACCCTACTGTTCTAAAAAGCTGAGGGATGCATTTCTTTTTCTTTAAATTAAACTAGTTGAGGGCAGCACAGTTGTGCAATTGGTAGAGCTGCTGCCTCTCAGAGAGCAGGTCCCCCAGTTCAAATCCTGGCTTTTGTTTGTATGTTCTCTCCGTGCATGCGTGGGTTTTCTTCAGGTACTAAGGTTGCACAGACCAAAAACATGCATGTTAGGCTGATTAGTAACTCTAAATTGTCCCTAGGTGTGAGTGAGAGAGTGAATGGTTGTTTGTCTCTGTGTCCCTGTGATGGACTAGAGACCTGTGCAGGTTGTACCCCGCCTCTCCCATAGTGATGGTTGGACATGGGCACCAGTGACCTTAACGACCCGAAAAGGAAGATGCGGGTAAAGATAACTTATACTTTTTGAGTGCATTAAAATAATATGTTGTAATGTTTGAGTTATTAAATAATTATTTTGAGGAATCAATGAGATCAGGTTTTTAAATGTATAACACTTCATGTTTTTATTATTATGTATGCATTTATTCATTCATTTAAAAGAAACAAAATAAACAAAAAAAATCAAAAAGAAAAAAATAACATTAAATGAAATGGGTGCAGAAAGAAGAAAAAATTATTATTATAAATGCCCCTTATTAATAAAATTAATAAATAAATGAACAACAACTTAGGTTTGAACATCTCCAAAGTGAAAACAAAAATATTAGGCATCCTTCACTTGGCACCATACTTTCCTAACAATTTAAAGCTTAATCATCTTTTTAAACATGTAAATTGTTTTAGAAATTTTGTATGGTCATACCAAGGCAGTTCCACAATCCTATTCCCTGAATTACAACGCAGCGCTCCTTCAGACTAGTTCTAAATGGATTTTTTTTTTTACAAACATTTCCATTCCATTAAGGTTATAAAAACTTTCTTTTCAACAAATTTTAATTGAATATTTGGGAGTAATATTTTTTATGAGCTTTATACATGACTTGTAAAATATTATATTCAACCAAATCATAAAATTGTAATAATTTCAACTAATAAAATAATACATTTGTTGGGTGACCATAGCACTTCGTACTAATAATTCGTATAGCTCTTTTTTTGTAAAATGAAAATAGGGTTTATTATGGTTTTGCATGCTTTTCCCCAAACTTCAATACAATATATTAAATATGAAATAATCATTACATTATACGATATATACAAAATTTATACACAATGTTTTTACATTGAAATAGTAAACCATACTCAGACAGAATCATTTTTGAACAATTCATTTCAGTGGGAACAAGAATGCGTTCAGATTTATTCATCTCAAAGAAAGAAACAAATGCCCCAAGGCTTTTATTTCAGCATTTTATTGAAGCAAATTATTTTTTCCTCAAAAAAAGAGAAAAAAAGACTATCAAAAGAATTGTGAAAGGTAATCTGCACACTTTGAAAAAGGAGATTGATGAATTAGACAGCAGAGGCACATTAAGTGATCTTCAGGACGTATGAGGGAAACGGCAGTGGAATCTATTTCAATGAGAAGAAGCACCTACTTTAAAAATGTCACACATCACAAAAAAGATGCCGTCGCATCGAGCTTCCAAACAACATTAGCATTCCTTTGGACTTGTTTTTGTGTTCAGTTCATTGAGATTTTGAAGTTTAAGTTTCGTGTTGTTTCTCTTTAACTTGGGGGCAACTTTCAGTTTGTTGCTAACGTTATTTTTTATGTGATGATGGATGGCTTGGAGTTGCTTCATTAGAGCTTCATTTCAGCTAGGCGACTGAGTGATATATCTAAAAGAGGACAATAAAGGAGCAGTCGGTGGGTCTTTTCGCATCACCCATAGCCATTTGAGTAATTGTAAATGTCTACATTTTAAATAGTGTAGTTTGAAAGAAATCACAGATGCATCATCGCATCCTTCTTGTTCATTCATTCCTGTTTTACATCTGCGGAATAATTATTTGCCTTCAAACTAAAGGTCTAATTAGCTGCAGACGTGACATTTTCTCAGGTCAAAGCTTAGACTGGTTGATGTTAAACTTTGACATGCCTTGAATTGCCTTAAATCTATGTTTAATTGGTCTTTGAATATCTATCCCGCGGAAAAAAAAAAATCAAAATCAAACCCATTAAAAAGGCAGCGGATGCTGGTGGAATGATAACACTACTCGTCTGCTGGATCCTGAACAGTCACTTGAGCATTGAAAACTAATTTGTAATCTTTCTGGTGTTATTTGATTCAAGGGGGATTACAAAACCCACAAGCCTTTGTACAATCAGTCCAACCATGTAATCATAATTTTACACACTGACATCTTCCAGGTGTCTGGGCTGAAGCTTTATTTTGTTGAGCTGTCTGGACAGTAAAACGCCCAAAAATAGTTACTATAGTTTAATGAAACCATTTGACCTTTTTTTTTTTTATTCGAGACGTCTTAGTATTCACATGCACGAAGAGCCAAACTGTTTTCATCATGCCCCATTTGATCTTGATAACTGAAGAAGAAAAGCGTTGTTCTGATTTACACTCTTAAGACGCTCGTGTACACTGATCTCTCCTTTCTTTTATCAAAGACAGTAATCCACAAACAAAACGGTGTAGTACATGTTTAAAGTGAGGATTAGTTCAAGACCACTGCACTGCACTTTAAGGTGCATTTGTGTGGCTGAGTGATCGAGCACGAGAGCAAACAGGATGGAATGGCACACTGCAGGGGGACAAAATAAATAAATAAAGAAAAGCTGTTTTGATGAAAATGCCCGTGTGGCCTGTATCCATCTCACCTCTCCATCAGCCAGCTGCCGAGCTGCTGATCCAGGCCAATTTGTCTTCTGGAAACGTTCAAAAGGAAGTGCTACTCTCGGTCATTTTCGAAAAGAACACAACCTCTCCCCTGCTGCTTTATAATAAACTTTCTCTGGACAGAGCTTTGGATAAGGCCAAGGCGGTCAACCTTGGATTAATGACATCTCCGGTTAGCACTGGGAAACTTTGCCTTCCCAGTGCAGCCAAGTCCCTTGCCACGACAAAGGCACATTAACGTATCTGATTGATATAAATGAATATTTGCATTTTCAGCAAACTCTCTATCTTCCATCTGCTCCTCTGCCTGCTTCTGGCTGATGAAGAAGTGGAAATTGTTCGGTTTTAAACGAGCATATGTTCAACTTCAGGCACAAGTTAAACTGTCTTTGACCCTAATCAATAGCTGAGGTGTCTGCTGAGAGTTGCTGTACCTTGCGTTGATGTCAGATTAAAAAGAGCAACCATGCAGTTTGGAGTAACTGAACCAAAAACTGCACCTAAACGTAAGTTTACCCCGTAAAAATCTGATTAAATCACATTATAAAGCTGAATTAGACTCTTGCTTTATCTCAGCGTTCAATAGAAACTACTATTTTAGATAAGAGGAAGCTTACTGACACAGCTGGTAAATTAGAACACTTTGTGTGTAGTTTAGTCGAGGTACTTAAGACAGAGGGGCTCATTAAATGTTACATCAGGCTGCCATTTGGGCCAAAATATGCATACAATCTTGGTACAGCTTCTTAATGAAGCAAACGAGGACTGGAACGTGAGGCTTGGCTACAGAAACTCAGCATTAAGACAACCACACTCTGATTTTAGGGCTCATTTAAGGATTCAAAGCTCATGGAGCACACGAGTGACAATTATGAGTCTAGTTCTGTGTTCATCCAGACGTTTAAGTTGGAGATGTAAAATGGTCTTTGTGTTTAAAATGTGTACCATGACATGAGTATATATATATAAGAAAAAAACATATCATCTTTGTCACACCTTATTTTAGAGAAACCCTAAATTTCATTTGGTCAAATTACTGCCAAACAAAGAATGATTGAGTGGAGGATAAAGAAAAAATGAAAACTTTCTAGTTCATGTTTAATGGACATGCCAACAAAACACGGTTGCTTAGATTTGTTTTCTTGTCAAGGACTTTTAATAAAAGCACCAACTTAGATGGAAGAAACAAAGTCATATAGTATAATTACCGTAGACTAGCAGGTAACGATAACGTTCTGTGGTATGTTGAACCCAAGTGCAGACAGACACTGGGAAGTTCAAAGATGAAATAAAAGATTCTACTTTATTAACAAAAAATAAAGGCTGACGTGGCAGCAAAACGTTAGAAAAATCCAGGATAGAAAAAAAATACAAAGGAACATAAAAAGAACGGCTGAGAGAAGCACAATCCATGAACAAGGTGGCAACACTTGAACTTAAAGGGACACTAAAGAGAAAACCATGAACACCTGGGGTGGTTGGGATTGGGAACAGGTGAAGCAAGGAGCTGGCAACGTGAAGGAAGAAACACGGGGGAAGGCAGGAAACAAACACATAAACACACAAATCTTAAAAAACAACAAAACGGAACACATTTGTAGAAGGAATTCTCTAAATTACTCTATGAAATGTCACATCACAACATTACTTTTCTTAGTTAATACAACAGATGTATTTTATACAACAATGACAAACAATTAATTTTTTGTCACAGAACTCAGAAGGAAATACAATTTGTCAAGTTTATCTCAAATTGAATTTAAAACAGTGTACGACATTATATACAATGTAGACTTTACATTTTCAGTGTTCTTGAGCAGAAAACATTAAATTCTAAGGATCAGTTGCTCAATTTGAGCAGCACGGTGGCACAACTTGTAGAGCTGCTGCCGCTCTGCGAGAAGGTTGCTGGTTCAAATCCCAGTCCAGGGGCTTTTCTGGGTGGAGTTTGCATGTTCTCTCTGTGCATATGTGGGTTTTCTCCAGGTACTCTGGTTTACTCCCACATACCAAAAACATGCATGTTAGGCTGATTGGTAACTCTAAAGTTGTCCCTAGGTGTGAGTGAGAGAGTGAATGGTTGTTTGTCTCGTTTGTCTCTATGTGTCCCTGTGATGGA